TCCCCTTCCCAGGGTTGGGACACTGGGCTCCCCACCCAGCACTCCCGCGACAGTCTGTGGCCTCAGTGGTTCCCACACCCGCCCCCAGCATGCTCCTCCCTGGCCACAGGCTAATTGGCTTTGACAGTTTGAGCCCTCAGCAGCTGAGTGGTGTCACTGCAAATTAGGCAAGCACTGAGCCTGCCAGTCGCAAATTACTCTTTTGTTGCTGTGGTGTTGCAGGGCTGCTAAGCATGTGTGCGTGCTTGTGAGCGTGAGCTCCTGGGTAGGCCCCTCTGGGCAAGGGGTCGGGCAGCCACTCATCCACCTTGTTCTCTCCTAATTGGCCTCGAGCAGATCTGCCCAGCTGGGTTCCCCTCGGGTGGTCAGTGCTCCCTCCTTAGCTGCCTTCTGCAAGGATGGAGCTCTGGCTGTGAACCTGCGTCTCCGTGGACCCTAGTGGACACTCCCAGGCTCCTGGAGGAGGAGTCACTGGCCCTCTGCCTCAAGGCACCCAAGTACTGGGGCTCACTCAAACCCCAGCTGCCCTGAGTCTGCTGCCCACAGCCTGCACTTCCTTCCTTCTCCCTCTGCTTCTTCCGAGCTGCATCTGAGTGCCTCGCTCTACCCCCTTCTCCCTCCACCCCCTTCTCCCTCCCCCTGCTTCCTGCCCAAGGTGGTCCTCTTTTCCCACCCTTAGGATGGGGCCCTCCTTCACCTGCTCTCCAGAGACCCCCCCCCACACACACACACTCTCTCCACTTCTCTCTTCCAATTCCCTTTGCCTAGCAAGTTTCTCCCTGGACTGCCCCACCCCATTCTCCCTGCCCAGGGCAGCCCCTCCTCAGCCCACCTGTACCTGCCACTTGGCTGCGTCTGTGGGAATGGGACACTCTCCTCCTGGTGGTGGGTTCTGCTGTGTTCAGATTTCTGTTCCCACCTCCTAAGAAGAGCCCCTAGCCCTTAGCACACGATGCTCCATAGGCCCATGTGAGTGCTTTCCAGGCCACCCTTCCCCCTTGCAGGGGCTTGGGGGTTGGGGTTGTGGGTCCCTGTGGGGGCCAGGGACTGGGCTGGACTTGAGTCAGGAAGAGCAGGGCACCCTTCAAGGGCCTCCTTGGCCTCTGGCCCAGCTCTGTGGCCTCAGGAACTGCTGACCAGGCAGCTGGGCCTGGGGACAGGAGAGGTGCCCTGGTCCTGTGGTCAGAGCAGCAGGCAGAGGTGGGAACTGGGCCAGGGGAGAGCTGTGGCCCGCAGGACTGGTGGCTGTCCTGGTCCCCCAGCAGTCAGCCTGTCACCTCCATGACCTAACTGAAAGCTTCCTCATCCTCTTCCTAGAGCGGCTGGCTGGTGAGGATGAATCCGTGCCAGGGTGAGTGTAGTCTTTGCCCTTCCTTGGGGCCCAATCTCCTGGCCCTACCTGAGTCCCTGCCTGGGGCAGCCCCTTGGTGAGACTGTGAAGCCTAGCAGGTGGACTCTGCTGCATCCTGCCTGGGCTGGCCAGGTCCCTACCAAATAAATTCGCTGGATAAAGAGCCTCAGCCTGGGCTAGTTGGTGAAGGTCCCACAGAGGTACGGCTGCTATTGTATCCCACATCCTTCCCTAGAAGGGGACAGGACCTAGAAAGGGTGGCCTCTGTCCTGAAGAGTCACAGAGCCTTACTGGTTCCTGGAGGACTGCAGCTGAAAGAGAAGCGACAAGGAGAGGTGAGCCCTGAGGCCTGGGCAGGGTGGGATGGGAGCCAAGCAAAGAGTGGCCCAGAGGAGGGCAGCATCCACCAGGTGGTCCGTGTCAGAGCCTTCAGTGGCCACAGGGACAGAACATGGCACAAGGGGACCAGCACACAAAAAGCGCGTGGGGTCCATGTGTGAGACTGCATGTGTCCGCGGTCATGTTTGAGTGGATCTGCACATTTGTGTGGGGTGGCCCTGTGTGTATCTGCACCCAAATGTGGGTCTATGTGTCAGGTTAGTACTTGTGAGTGTTCACACTCAATGCCCTGTGCTCTTCCTCATGGGAGGATAGAGAAGAGGACACCTCAACCTTGCCCGGCCCACCTCAGAGCCAGTTTCAAGCAGGAGGCAGGGAGGACATATGTTGCAGAATGCAGGGGAGTCACAGGCTACAGAAGAGGTGGCGGTACCATAGGACGAACAGCCTTGGGGCATGGAAACAGCTGCCTTGCCAAAATCCAGCAGCAGGGCCAGGGAGTCAGGGCCAGGCTTGGTCTGTCTGCAGCATGGGAGCCTTGCCCTGGGTCCAAGTTTTCAGAAATGTCTGTGGAAATTTTTTTTTTTTTTTTGGTACCAGGATCGAACTCGGGGCTTGCGCTTTTGAGGCAGGTGGCAGAATCACTGAGCTAAATCCCCAGCCCCTTGTTTTGGAATTTAACCTGCTTCGAGGTGCAAAGTGAGCAGAACCTCCATGCTGGGGGCGGGGGGAGAAACAGACCACAGGATGAGGCCCAGGTGGGTGCTGTCTGCCCTGGGCAGAGTGGGCTGGGAGTTGTGGGGTGGGGTTGTTTCAGCTCCGGTAACTCTCCTGGGCTAGTGCAGGGGCTGCCTCTGGCCCAGCATCTGGGAATCCCAGAAGAAGGAGGTGGGGACCTGGAGGGAGGTGAGAATATAGGAGTGAGTATGCACAAGTCCTGAGAGCTGTGCATATTGAGTGTGAGCTGCGAACACTGCCTGGTGGCCTGGTGGGAGCAGGGGCCCTGTCTTCTGCAGGTGCACTCAGTCATGGTCTCGGTTGGTTTCTTCCTGTCTGGGAAGACTGCTGCGTCCAGGTCCACGTCTCTATAAACAAGAGGGCTTCAATCCTTCCATCCTTGAGTAGCTCCCGGGAAGCCTCATCAATGTGCCACCCCAGAACCCAGCCTCCTTCCTTCCCCAGGACACAGTGACCACCTCTGGGTTCACTTGGGCTGGTTTCATTGTCATTTTAATCCCTGCTGGGTCCCCCAAGAGGGGAGATAGGAAGTTGCTGGGCAACATGGGTCTGTGCTGACCCTGGGGGACCTAGGCAGCCTTGTCAGCAAGTAGGCAGAGGATGACAGGTGTGGGGGACAGGAGATCAGGCCTGTTCAGGCTCCAGATGCCAAGGCTTGGGGAGGCTGAGGTACAGGTGCCCTGACTGCCTTTTGGATCATCCAAGGAGGCAAGAGGACCCTAGAGCTGAACAGATGCTGGCCCCTGCCTCCGACCCAGGGTTATAAATGCCCTCCAGCTCCCTCTCATACCTGTGGTCCAGGTAGCCTCTGGCTAGGCTGCAGAGCTGCCACTGCCAGACATAACTGCCTGGACAAGCATGCCCATCATGCCCATAGCACCCCCCCCAAGCACTCCTCCTGGAGGGACTTGTGGCCCCAGGCCTCTCTCACAGCCCCTGCCCACCTACTACAACCTCCCCCTCCCTCCAAGTAAGGACACACTCTCCCCAGCACGGGCCCCAGGGCTCCCAGCTCCCTCCCCCAGCTCTGCTGGATGCTGGTGTCGCACTCAGGCCAGCTGACTTCCTTCCCTGCAGCTCAGGGCTGGAGCCAAAGGCATCTCCCACACACAGGTTTTCCTCCAAGGGACTGGGGGGGGGTTCCCCAAAATGTTTCTTTAAAAAATCTGCTTCTGAAAACAAGAATAGATGCTGCTTTTGCCCCCATGATCCTCAGGTCGCCCACATTCACAATAGTTTGTTTGCTCCGCCTCCTGTCCGAAGGGGAAGCCAGAGGAAAGAGGGAGGGAGGGGAAAATGGGTTGAAGAAACTCTGTGGCTGTGGGGAACCCTATGCACATCAATGTGGGGGCTGCACGGCTCCTGAGCTTGAAGGTCCTGGAGGGGCCAGGTTCAGGCTCGGAGGGACACTGGGCTGGGAGGGTGAGCACAGCTGCCGCCGCTGTCCCCTCCGTGAAAGACGCTGGCTGCTGGCCCTACACCAGCACTTTCCCTTACCAGGAGGAGGCTCTGTGCAAATGACTCCTCAGGGTGGTGACAATGAAAACGGAGCTGTTCGGTGTCCTAGCTCGACTAGGGACTTCCAGCTACCAAAAACAGGCCAGTGGTCCAAAGCTATAAACTTGCCCACAGCCCTTGGCCCCTCGTCATCGTCGGGGAGATGGTCTCTGTGAATGGTGTCCACATCTGGTGGGTGACCCTCTCAAAGGCTGGCTGGAGCCTTCGGTCCTTGTCACACCTTAACTCAATCCCCACACCTGCATTTTTTTCTCTCCTGCAGCATTTTCTCCTGCACAGACACAGGCTGGGAGTTTGCTCAACCACACACAGACCTGTCTCCCAGAGTCTCATTCTAAAGCAAAACGGGGAGAGTGGGACAGGGAGGATCTGCCTTTTTGGGGTGCAGGTCTGACCTGGTGAGACTCTCACTTCAGGAGAACCGCAGCCACCGGGAGAGAGCCTCCATTTTCCAGACAGAAAAGCAGCCCACTGGGGAGGAGGCTTTGGGACAGGTCCTGAGGCTAGGTGAACAGTCTCCAAATTTGCAAAACAAGGACCCTCGCCACAGCCACACTCCCTTCCAGTGGTGAAGGGAGGAAACAGTCCCCTAAAAGTTCAGCTGCTGCCTGGGCCCCTACAAATTTTCAAGGGCCTCACCACCTCTGGGGGGCCCCTACGCCATGCCCCTAACCACACCTCAGCATCCAGAGGACATGCCAGGCTGCCCCTCTCCTGGGTGGAGATCTGCAGGCTCAGAAGAACTAAGGCAGGCGCTCCGGAAGCCAGGACACAACAGCCCAGGACTTGGGGTCACCATTTAGGGTCCCTTCTTCCCTGAGCCCTGGCCTGCCTTCAGGGGAGCCTCTGGCCACAGGCTTCTGGGCTCTGCTCTTCTGTGGGTACAGAGCCAGTTGACAGCCACCTTGTTTACAACCTGGTCTGTATCTCCTTGGTAATGCCCAGACCAGTCACCCACAGCTAAGGCAAAGCCTGATCCAGTGACTTCTTTTCCTTCTATTCGAGGAGACATGTGGCAAAAACAAAAGCCACAGACAAATCATTCAGGCTCCAGTAACTTTTGGATCTAACCAGATTTATTTTGTGTGTTTTTTTCTTTCCTCAGTTTTGTAGCAAATGAAAAAAGAATTCAACAAGAACCAACAACACAACAAAACTTTCAACGAGTTGGCCTGTCCTGCTTGGAAGGCCAGGCAGGATGGTGGAAGGAAAGCTGTAGTCCTAGAACGGCAGGGGCCTCAGAAAATCAGGGCCTCCACCTAGCAGGGCCTCACGGAGCTTAAAGGGGTTGCCCCCTGTGCCCATCTCCAGCTAATCCAAAAAGAGACCAAGCTTTAAAAAAATTCCACAAACAAAACGAAACACAATTTAAATTAAAATAAAAACACTTTCTCCACCCACCCATGCCAGGAGGTTCAGGCCTAAGCCTCCTCTTTAAATTTCTTTTAGAAATACAGTGCATTACTTTTTAAATTTCACTTCTCTTCAAGGTTAAAATAAGATATATTTCCCTAGGAGTCATAAATACGATCTGGTGCATAGAGAAATGGCAGCGCGGGAGTCCGGGCCAGCCCTCACCCGCTGACCAAGGCGACCCCTTCCCCCCACCCCCCACCCCCGTCGAGTACAGCAGGGCAGCAGGCCCAGGACCGAACAGAGCAGGGAACGAACCCGTGCTCCTGCCTCTGGGAACGCCGGGCAGGGCAGGGGGCAAGCGGGCGCTAGGACAGGCAGGGGCCGGGGCCGATCGAGCGACGCATGCGGGGACTCGCGGGCGTTCGAGGGCGCACCGGTTGGGGAAGGTTTTCTTTTCTAATCACCAAGCAAAATAAATATAAATGCTTTGAAAATAAAACCGTTTTTTAAAGGGAGAGGAGGAATAAAACGGGAGCAAGGAAAAGGAGACAGAAAAGAAAGAACGGAAAAGACGCGCAGGGCAGGCAGAGGGTGCCTGGGAGGGGACGGCACGGAGGGCCGCGCTCGACTTATGTACAGTGGACGCTTGACAGTGAGTTAGACCTGGCTTGGCTTCCTCGGACACCGGAGGACCGCAGCGACGACGTCGGGACAGTGACCAGGCAGGTGCACGGAGCCGGGCGGTGCAGGGAGCAACCCCGGCGGCGGGGTGCGCAGTGCCGGGCCTCTGAGCTCCCGCGCGAGCCTGTGCCGGGTCACAGGAAGAAGTCGGGCGCGCCCTTGGCCCCGGCCTGCGGCGGCGAGGACTCCCGCGAGAAGCCGGCGCCGCCCGTACCCCCGGGGCCACCCCTGCCGGCCAGCTTCTCGTATTTCTCCTTGTACAGGTCCCGCTCCTTGGCCAGGCGTCCCACTTCCAGCTTCAGCTGCTCCACCTGGCTCTGCAGCTGGCATTTCTCGCTCTCCAGAATGTGCCGCTGCTGCACGCGCTTGAAGCGGCACGACTGCGCGTAGCCGCGGTTCTTGAGCGTGCGCCGCTTCTGCTTCAGCCGGATCACCTCCTCCTTGCTGAAGCCGCGGAGCTGCCGGTTCAGCTCCCGCACCGACATAGACACCAGCTGGTCGTCGGAAAAACGCTCCTCCAGGCGCGCGTGGTGGCTGGCGCCGCCGCTGCCGTGGTGGTGGCCGTGGCCCGCGCCGCCGTGGCCATGGTGATGGTGGTGGTGCGTGCCGTGGTGGTGGTGTGCACCGTGGTGGTGATGTGCGCTGTGGTGGTGGCCCGCGCCCAGGTCGTCCGCGCTGCCGACCCCGCCGCCGCCCGCGAAGCCTGGGCCCCGGAAGGCCTCGTAGGCCACGGCGGCCGCCGGGGGTTGCGCTCCGTGGTGCCCGGCGTGGTGGCCGCTGCCGATGAGAGCCTCCACCGCGTCCTCCGGCGTCAGGTGGAGCGCCTCGGGGTTGAGATGGTGCTGGTAGCCGCTCATCCAGTACAGATCCTCCAGCACCGGCTTCCCCGAGGCGCCCCCGACGGCTCCGGGGCCCCCGCTTGGTGGCCCGGGGGCGCCCCCGGCTTGGGCCGCGCCGCTGCCGCCCCCCGAGCCGCAGCCGCTGGTGCCTGGGCTGGGAGCGCAAAAGCTGGGTGAGGAGGGCACAGAGGAGCAGGGTGTGCTGAGGGGCGTCGAGGACAGCGAGCCGTGCGGCAGGCGGTGGCAAAAGCGCTCGGCCTCGGGCGGCTCCTTCTTTACCTCGAACTTCATCAGGTCGAAGTCGTTGACGTACTCGATGGCCAGTGGGCTGCTGGGCAGCTCGGCGCCCATCGCCAGCTCCGCGGCCATTGCCCGGGGCCCTAGCCCCGCCGCCGCGCCCAGCCTCGCCCCGACGGGGGCGGGGGGGGCGGGGGGGGAGCCGCGGGCCTCTCCCCCCCCGGCTCCCCACGAGGCGCGGTCTGGGCGGTCACAGGCTTCGGGCCGGGGCGCCGAGAGGTGCAGGGAAAAGTTTCACGCAGACAACTCAGGGGCGGCGCGCGTGAGACGCCACCGGCCGGGCCTGTCAGGCGTCCACGGGCCGGCTCCCGGCGGGCGCACGGTCTGGGGCCTCCTCCTCCTGCTAGTCCTCAGCGATCCGTAGCCGACCAGTTGCAGTGTGGCCGCGCCTCGGGCTCCCCTGCCCCGCCCCGCGCCCCGCCCCGCGCCCCGCCCCGCGCCCCGCCCTGCACTCCTCCCTGCACTCCGCCCGCGCTGTTGGCAAACCCCGCCTCCCACGGAGGAGCAGCGAGGCGCGCATTTTTATAGAGCCGGGAGTCCGGGCCCGCCTCTCCGGGAGGGAGCTCGCGCCCCTGGGCCAATCAGAGCCTCAGCCCTACCGCCCTTATTTGGCTATCCCCATGGCAACCCGAGCCCAGCTGTCAATCTCCTGCGGGAAACAGCTGTGGGAAGGGGTGGGGACAGGCCACTGGCGATAAGAGTAGGGAGGGCCCCCTGGTGGCCGCCGTGGAGCACTGCACGGGTGGCGGGCGCGGGACCCAGCGGCAGACGGAGACCTCCGGAGGCCTCATATCCAGATCTAGGACCAGGTGTCTGGGAAGTCCAGGGGAGCAGAGGAGGGTTGCGCCCAGGAGACCCCCTTGATGTCTCGGTCCCTTTGAGGCCACCCATCCAAGCCGAACCCCTCAGCCTCCTCTGGGCCCGGCGCCCGGCCCGGTCTGCCCAGAACTGCGTCCGGCTCAGCTGGCAAGGCGCGCCTGAGCGCGGGGACCTCCGGGCATCATGACACTGGGTGACACTGCCCGGCCCAGGGGCGCGGCGGGCCGAGGGCCGGCTATTTTTAGCCCCGCGGCTCGGGCGAGTTCAGGAATTCAGTCAACAAAGTTGCTGGCACCTAGGGCTGCGGGACGCACCACAGGACACTCAGGGCTCTGAGCGCGCGGTGCAGGCGGGGAGGGACGCGTGCGGGCCGCTTCGTGGGGCGAGGGTGCGAAGGACCAGGGGTAGAGGTGCGGGGTGCCCGTTTGAGGGTACCCGGACGCGGGGTTCAAGCGGTATAGAAGGCGCAGAAGTGTGGCAGGCAGAGAGTCGGGGCATGGCCAGAGAGCTCCCAGACCCGGGAGGAATCTCAGGCTGCCTTGCCCACCCTCCCCGTTTCACATCGCCTGATGAGTTCCAGGCACTTGGGGCCCGGGGAGAGGGGCTGACCTGAAGCTGATTTCCTCTGCCCGGGGCTTCACACATGCTGGAAGCCATCTGGAGCAGCAAGCAAGGAGCAACGGGGGCAAGGAGAGCGACTGTGGGGTGACCCCAAGTGGGTCTTTTTTCTGTATTGCTGTTAGTACAACTTTGACAATTAAAAAATTCAACATAAATGTAATCACCTGTGCACAGGGACAATTGGAAGTGCCCTGATGTCCCAGGGGCTGGCCGGGCCGGCGGAATCGGAATCATCTTCAGCAGTTTTCTTGTTCACTTCACAAGTGTCTATTACTTTATAATAAAAATTCCAGGCAGTGAGGGGTGAGCAACTACTTCTCACCATGTCCCCAGCCCTGCTCACCCTCCCTGCTCTGGGCAGGGCTGGGGTCGGGACTGGGAAGGCCAGGCCTTTCTATGAAGGTCAGGAGAGCCTGAGGACCCTCTTCCCCAGCTTGTCCCTGAAGGAGGCTTTGTGGTCCCTGCCCTCACTTTCATGAGACAGATCTCAGGACTCTGGGGACAGTGATGTCGCCTACAACTCACAACCAAACTCTTGGTGTAATTGTGCCCATTCTACAGATAAGAAAGCAGAGCCCCTGAACAGTAACAAGCCTTGTCCAAAATGACTTGCAGCAGGTGGTAGAGCTAAGGCCCCCACGGGTGCTAGGACTTGAGATCACAGGGATGGCTAGACACTAGGGCAGGTGGTGAATCCTTTAATCCACCTGTGTTCAGAGAGGGGCCTGCCTGCCCAATCCACCCACCCCAGCATTTCTCCAGGCTGAGTGCTCAGTCCCCATGAAGCTGGGACAGCTCCCCTGGACCATGGCTATAACCTGTGTCTGGGCCTAGAGCCAGCCACCCCTCTCTGATTCCTTTGCATACAGATTGGTACCTCACATGTCTGTCACTCATTCATTCCCTCAAGAGTGGCAGGGGCAGGGCAAGGGCTTTGTAGGAGGTGGAGCAGCAGGTGCAGAGCAGTCTGGAAAGCCAGCCACATCCTCCATCTG